GTCTGTCAGTTAATGCTTATAATTTTCTTTTTTCTTGACCAATTTTGCATGCTTGAATCTGATAATCAGAACAATTGATCTGAAAACAACAATGTGCAGTATAAGAACCATTGCTGAACTTCTAGTATCTTGTATTGTGAAGTTCTGCATCATTTATAATTTTTTTATTTCTTGTTACTGTCTTTGATTGTTTGATCACTCTTACATTCCTACATCTGGTGGACTGGGCAACTTCGTTGAAGATAACAGTATGTAGTGTAGCAACCATTGTTAATTCCTATCATTTTGTTTCGAGGTTATGTATCATTTTTGTTGTTTCTGTGTTGTTTTGATTTTGTCTCCATTGTTGTTTTGTTAGTTTTTTTTAATCTTTAAAATAAAAAAATAAAAATAAAAGAAGAGATTTGCACCATTAAATTGGAAACAAGTACTTTGTACAGGGACAAAAAGAAAGATGACTTGAAGGCATTTCAAAAATCAGCAAGCCCCCATCTTTACAGACTAAATGGTGTAAAAGTATAAACCTTTCATTTAAGAGAATCCCCAGGAGGCCTGCTCAAGAAAAACCTCCCAAGGAATTGGTTCATCAATATTCATTTCAGGCACTCAGAGCCTGCTGAAGCCATAGTCCAAGAGAGTCCAGCAACTGCTCAAACTGGCAGTTGAACTTGTTATAATTTATATGGTACTGTAAAACCATTCTGAAATGCAGAATGCAAAAGTTGGGGGGTCAGGAAAGTTCTCACTCAGATTTCAAAGAAGGCCTGGAAAGCCAAACAAGGAGCCCCTGTGAGAAGTCAGTGCATAAAGCTGAAGATGAAGTGAAAGGCCCAGTAACACAGAGATGCCAAAAAGATAGAACATCTGCCAAGGAAATCTGTAAGCCTTGAGTGTAGCCACCCTAAAAGAGAAGCCATTTGGGCTACAAAACCAGTAAACCATAGTTGTCAAGTTGCCCAAGCCCTTTGGAAATCACATCTCACCACCACATATACTAGATGCCAGGTATGGAGGTACAGAATTTAAATTTTCTCTCTTGGGTTATTGCTTTGCTTTAGTCTGATTCTTTTCTACCTTCCTATCCTCCCTTTTTAAAATGGGAATGTTTACCCCATGCCACTGTACCTTGGCATTATGTAACTTGCTTTTGATTATTACAGAGGTTCATAGGCATTGAGTTCAAGTCTCTCAGAAGAGACTTGAACTGGAACATTTGAAAAACTTCTGGAACTCTGGAGACTTTGGGAAAGTGATTGTTGTGCTTCTGGTTGTACGTAGATAATTGTATTATGCTAGGTAGAATGATGGACTTTTGCTATTGTCTTTACTTGGACATTAAGTTTAATTCAAGGAGATGTGTTTGAGTGCAAAGTTGACAGAGGGTGGATTGTGATCATTAATCATGACATGTCCACTTCACTGGATGAAGAAATTCCTAGCAGATTAGTAAAGTATGCTCCTGAATGCATCTGGGTGGGTCATGGAATAGTGGCTTCAGATACTATACATGATCCCTCGCCTGTTCCTTTCTGGCACTGTTCCTCTGCCTACTTCTCAGCCAGCCTGAACTAAACAGCATTGTGTAACCATGCTCTTCCACTATGATGTTTCTGCCCTGTACCTAACTGATCATTGACTGAAGCCATGATCAAATTAAACCTCTCCTCCTTTGAGTTGTGGGCATTGGGTATTACATCTCAGCAACAAGAAAGCTGACTAGTACAAGTTTGTGTTGAAGTTCATATAGAAAGATTAAGAAACTAAACAGTTCCCTTTGGGGAAGAAAAAGGATAAATTGGAATGATGTATTTTACTCAGCTTCAAGACTTACTACGATGGTGCCTTAGTTCAGAAATGCTTTTGTGAACAATGTGGTTCACAAACAAAAGCACTTGAAAACTTTGTGTGCAAACTGTGCATTGGGTGATGAGTACAACCACGGCCATCCTTCCCACCTGAACATGAATATGACAATCTTTTCCAGAATCGTAGAATGAATTAAGTTCGTGAACAAAGCTACCACTGTATATAGCTATAATAATTAAGACAGTGTGACACTGGTGGAGAAACAGACATATAGCTCCAAGGAATGGAGAATTCAGAAACAAAATAATGAAGTTCACCAAATGGATTTTTGTCAAAGGAGCAAAACCAACTGAGGAAAGATCGTTTTTCAAAAATTGTCTGGAACTTGGATTGCTTTCATTTTTTAGTTATTATGAATAATTCTACTACAAATATCTCTTCTAGATGTTTTCAGTTCTTTTCAAAAAACTATGTGGTCTATACATACAATAGAATATTATGCAAACTTAAAAAGGAAAAAATTCTAGCACATGTTATAACATAGATAAACCTTGAGTACATTATGCTATATGAAGTAAGGCAGTCACAAAAGGATATGGGGGTATGATTTTACTCAGATGAGGTAACTGTATTGGCCAAATTCATAGTGACAGACTGTAGAATTGTGTTTACTAGTGGCTAGAGGTGTTAGAAGAAATGGGTAACACCTTGTTATTTAAGGGTTTAGAGTTTCAGTTTGGGAAAAGATGAAAAAGTTCTATGGATGGATGGTGGTGATACTTGCACAGTGAAGTGAATGTACTTACTGCCACTGAGCCGTAAACTTCGAAAATGGTAAACATGACAAATTTTATGTTATGTGATTTTTGACACAATTTTTAAATAAAGGTAGAATCATTATATAGATTGACAGATAGATAGATAGGTAGATAGATAGATAGATATAGATAGAAGGAAGGAGGAAGAAAGGAAGGAAGGAAGGATGGAAGCAAGGATGGAAAGAAGGATGGAAGAAAGTTGGCCTGAATCTTACGCTGAGTAAAAAATCAGTTCAACATTGATCACAGATCCAAATGTAAAACTAAAACTTTTAGAAAAAAAAAATAGGAAAGACAACACAATCTTTAGGATATCAGTCTGGCCAAAGACTTTGGAAACATGACACCAAATACAAAAACCACAGGAAAAACTGATTAGATTTCCTCAAAATAAAAAAAAAATTGTGCAGTGAATACCCCTTTTAAGAGGATTAAAAGACAAACTACAAATTACGAGATACAATTTGCAAACTTCATGTTCAACAAAGGATTCATAACTAGAATATATGAAAAATTCTCAGATCTCAACTAAAATAAAATAATACATTTAGGAAACCATTGTAATCAGTGGTTTACAAGGGAATAGATTTAACACAGGACACATAAATTTATAGGTGTAGCTTATAATATTCACCCACAGAGTCAAATGCAGATGAGTACAAGAGATCTGCCCACCCACTAGAGACCTGAAGAATCCAGCTGAGGGCCTAGAGCCCACATCTATGTCCTACATGAATGAATCCAGCTGGAGACCTAGACTCATGGAAACTCATGGCACAAGTTGCACAAATTGAAGGGATTGCAACATTGCCCATGGTGGTGTCCTCCATGAGTCCAGCTGGAGGCCGAGAGCCCACGACAATGTCTCATGCAACTCTGTACCAAGGATCTGCACTGGGAAGGCCCAAATGCCAGTGATGGAAGCTAGAAAGTATGTGCCGGTGGGGTGAAGGATCTGTGCCAGAAGGTTTAAGGCTCTGCACTACAGCCAGGAAGCAATGCTCAAGACAAAAACCAGACTTTCCCCAAAGAGAACAGCAGCCATCCCCAGCAACAGCAAGCTCCTCCCAAGATGAGAGCAGTCAAGTTTGTTTCAGGAAAACCAGCCACAACAAAGCTTCTCTTGGAAAATCAGCAGCATGCAATCTTCCCCTCCTGTTTTCCTCTTATACAGTTGGTAGCAATCCTCAGGTGGGTCTTCCATGCCCAGAGCCATGCTGACTAAGTTCAGCTGGGTGATCCCAGTTAAATTGACCATTGGTTAATCCATCACAGAAACATTTCACTGAAGAGGAGATACAGATGACAGATAAGCATGTAAAAAGATGTTCAACACCATTATCCATTAGGGATGTGTAAATTAAAGCACATTATGAGATATCACTACATATGTATTAGGACAGCTAAGAGAAAAGTAGCCATAATACCAAGAGCTGGTGAGGATGGGAAGAAGGTGAGCCACTCAAGCCTAACTGATGGGAAAAGGCCAGCTTCTCCAGGAAACAATTTGGAGTTTCCTGTAACACCAAGTATACCTCTCTTGTAATCCAGGCAGTATACTTTGGAACATTTTCCCAGAGAAGTAAAAGCTTATAAACACATACAAATATGCATGCACACACACAGCTGTACATGAGTATTTAGAATAGCTGTCTTCTTGCCAACCAAAAAATGAATAAGTCAAATTCTCTTAAGTGGATATGGGCTATGCAATCCATGGTTCATACAAAGATCTAATGGCTACTTAGCAATAAAAAGGAACAAAATTGGGACAAGTACTGCAAGCTGGGTGAATCTACAGGGGATCAGATTTGGTGGAAAATGTCAGTCTCCAAAGGTTCTATATTATGTAATTCCACTTAGGAAACATTCTCAAGATGACATTAGATGAAGAACAGATTCGTTTTTGCCAGGGGACAGAAACCAGGCATAAGTATAGCTACAAAAGGGCAGCATGAGGGAACTCCTCTTGGGTATGAAACTGTTCTGCATTTTGATTGGTTATGAAAATCTATTTGCAGGATAAAACTGTGTACACTAACACATGTAGTAACTGGTACTTGCTAAGTTCTGCAACATACCAAAGTCAGTGTCCTAGATATGACCGTGCACTGCAGCTATATGAGATGGGATCACAGAGGGAAGTAAAGGGGCATGAGACTCTACAACATATTTGTACAACTTCCTCTTTCTCTATAATTATCCTGAACCATGAAGTATTTTTAAATCACATTACAAAACAATATATGCAAATAGCCAGATGAATGCTACTGATACCTATAAAAGTTTACTGAACCAAAAACAGTGATTCTTACTTTTTCCAGCACTCTCATTTCACCATCTTAAATTTCTCAAGGATTAAAATATTAAGAAACCAATGAGTAAATGCATTTATTTTAAAAACACACATAAGTAACTTTTTAGGGTACATGCAAGGTTCCCAAGGCCTACCACGGATTGAGTTGAACCCCAGAGCCAGAGGTGGGAGGTCTCCAGGGAGCAGCAGCCCAGCAGAATGCAACTGTAGGCCACTCTTACCAAACTGTTCTTTGGCTCTTGTCTTCAGCGGGACTCGCACACTCTCCAGACTGGGACTCCAGGCACTGTGTTCTCAGCTGTCACTCTTGAACAGGATCTCTTGCTCTGCACTCTTGCCATCTGATGGTCGCTGGCAGCATGGCATCATGTGCTGGCAGCCCCAGGCTGCAAAATCAGATGAATAAATAACCTTCTGATTCCGAAATGTGACACATTTGGCAAGAGGCAAAGAGCACATTTTCCACTAAGTGTTAAAATATTGTCAGAGCTTCAGAGACTTTTTGAGTACAGACAAGGGCAGAACGGGCATACAAACGACACCTAGAGACCCACTTGTGAAATATGTTCTCAGAACCAACTCTTTCTTCCTATTATGTTTGCATGTAACTTTTAAAATTTACTAGCAAACTCTTCTGTAGAGTAATGAGGAAAGTATTCCACTCCAGTTAGCCTGCAAGAACTGGCCAAGGAACGAAAACACTAACTTTTAAAAGAGAATTTCCTCTGCTGTGAGAGGAAAGGACAATACAGGAGAAATGTCTTAAATATAAACTTTTCTCTTTCAAAGTGTGGCTTTCAAATCTTTCAATGGATAGTAACAAAACAGATTTGCTCTGATCGCCCCGGAAGACCCTACATCACTAGCTGGCACAGATTCTCTACCCAACACCTCCCAGCACAACATGCAGTGATATAATTACCTCCTGTACAAGTCAGCCCTGGGAAATTCAGTGGATGCCAAGCACAGAGCACCACCAGACAGCCATATGGTCCTCCCTCTCCCTCTGTGATATTTTTATTCAGAAATTTCACTGCAGGTCCTGATTTTTGGCTGCTAGATTCCTGTATCTCTCTTGTGAGGCCTTTTTGCCTATGGTAACTCTTAGGAGATGCTGATGGATACAGGGGAAAATGATTCATAATTGAACCAAAGAGATTCTTTTAATGAACTTGCCCTGGGGGATATCATGCTCTTTTTATGAGAAAATTTAATGAATCATAATGAATTTCATCATATGAAAATGATGTGTATAGACCATAAAGGAGCCGCAAAGCTAACAATCCAAGACTCAGATGAAAAGAAACAATAGTGAAACTATTTGGACAGAATACATATGGGCACAGGATGAAAAAGGCACTAAAAATTTATATGGATTTTAAATATGAATAATGAGGTATATAAATAAAGCACACATGATTGCCAAAGTTATTTTCAGCAAAAATTAATATGTACAAATTATGATAGAGCTCTTTATAAGGGTCCATAAAACTTTTATTCAAGCTTTTTTTAAAATGAAAGGCAACTTATTTGAAGATGGGGAAGGCGGGAAAGAGATGACAGACTGCTGCTCTGGGTGAGTAGGGGGAATTTGAAAGTGAATTGTTCTCAGACCTTTTTTTTTTTTTTTTTTTTTCAGAGAAAATAATTTCTTCCCTTTATTTAAATTTCTGCTCCCTGACAAAAGTTGCTTCAACTCTCCCACTGATTGTTCAAATATCTCGGCTACCCCAGCCTGAATCGCCAGCTCTGGTTTCTTTCATTCAACTAGATCAGGAACTCTTAAAATCCCAGTATATAAAGTGTAGTCCCTTCCCTCAAGAAACTTACTGTTTAGGGAGACCACATAGGGTCCTCTGTGATTAATATGAAAAAAATTAATTAATAAAACAATTAATATGAAAACAATTGCATAATACATTTTTATATGTAAGTTGCAGTGATAGAATAAGCTTCAGATAAGCATTTCTCCACCCTAAGGAAACAAATAGGTTTTCAGGAAATTATATTTGATCTGTAGCTTGATGAATGATGCCTGGCCCTCTGGATATGTTCTATGTCCTCATCCACCCAGTTCTTCCGGGCCATGTGGTTTGCATCCATCCATTCCTCAGACCCCACTGGGGTCCTCCAGTAGAAGGCAGCAGGAGGAGATCTAGGAATAAGAGGAGCAGAATGGCTGGTTTATTATGCCCCGCTTCCTGCAGCATGGGTGGTGGGTGCTCCCTCATTCCTTGTTGGTGATGTAGCTCCTTCCACACCCTGGGATGTACTCTTACCATTGAGCTTTCCCTTAGCTGCACGGCTGTGGTGAGCTGCCTGTTTCTTCATGGCAGGTAAGAAAGAAGCAGGGCTCGTCCAAGATAAACCAGAAAAACATGATATGTCAAGCAGTGGGAAGAGGTCAAAGATAGAGAATCTTGTGAGGTTTTGGTTTGGTTTGGTTTGGTTTGCAGTTTCAAGTAATTCTTTTATGGGGAGACAAGTGAAGAGTAGAGAGAAACGACACCATGGTGTTAGCCAATCACAGAGGACCCTATGTGCTACAGTTAAGATTTGGGAGCCTAACCTGTAGGCTTAGGGAAGACAAAGGTGGGACGACTGCAGGGGCAGCTCCTCCAGGCACCAACATTTGGAAAAAGCTGGAAATAAGCTGTCCCCTAGTTAGGGGTTCTGCATTTCACCACTTAAAAACCTGAGAAAGGATGCTTTGTGCTGTAGCTCAGGAAGCAGACAATATCCTCAAACAGGAGAGTGGTTGAACAAACCTTCACTAATCCATTCTGCCATGCAGATTGGTACCACTGCAGCACTTTCACAACCTCTTTTTCTAGCTGTCCAGCACTGTAGGTCACACTGACAACCCAGCTGACTTCACAAAAGGAGAAAAAGAAGAAAAGTAGGGGGCTGGGGATTTAGCTCAGTGGCACAGCACCTGCCTCGCAAGTGCAAGGTCATGAGTTCAATTCCTGGTAACGGAAAGAAAAAACAAAAAAAAAAAAAAAAAACAGAAAATCAA